TTATTTTTTATTAAAAAATTAATACTTTTTTTTTATGTTCGCAGGCAAATTTGCCTGCTCTACAGTTTAAGGGATAAACATTCCATTCATTATTTGATTTATCGATTCAAAAAATTTCTCTATTTCATTTATTTCATAAGTCCTAAGCGAATTATTGGACGAAAATCACGTGGCGGACAGAGAAACGCTCACATGACCAAAATTTAATCAATGCACAGAAATATATAGTTCCTTCAGGACAATTACATAATATACAACTTATCTTTACAAAAACTAAACCGATGATCATAATTGCATCCCAGTCACGCAAATCACACTTTCTCTGATCATGTGCTATTAAGCCGCCAGTTTCTTATGTAAAAAAAGCAAATGTTGCTATTTGATTTTATTGGTTAACATGTTTTTGCGATAATCTGAGTTTTTCCGAATTTTTAACAATATGAGCTAGTCCAAATACCCATTTTCAACTTTCAAAAAAAAGAAAAATTTTTCAACTGGAAGTATGAGCCGTAGACGACAAAATAATAAAGAACCTAATCCAAGACAAAGAATATCAGACCAGCCTTCTGGTCGTCCTAACGTTAGTACATCTAAAAATCAAAATGATCGTAACAAGGGTAACAGAAACCAAAAGAGAGGAGGTGGTAAAAATAACCGTGATAACCGTGATAACCGTGATAAGTTAAGTCCAATATTACCGAACCTCTTTGAAATCGTAAAGCCGGAAAAAAAAGGTTTTCGTGCGATACCGATTATTCCAACTGAGAAGGAAATTCTAGCACCACAACCGGAAGATATTCCAATAAATCGAATTGATAAACCATACGATTCAATGGACGAGTATCTAGAAACTCATTATAAATTACTAAGAGAAGACTGTCTAAGACCTCTTCGTAAAGGTATACAGTTTTTTCGAACAAAACCTGAAGAAAATAATCGAGATTTACGAGTATATGTTAAGGTTAATCTTGTGGGTGTAACATTCGCAAAAATTGGCGTTGTACATCGCATCAGCTTCAGAACCAAAGATTTTGAGCGTGTTAATTGGTAATTTATTTTAGATCCTAATACTCGGTATTCATTTGATACATAATTCTATAACCAAAGTTTTATATTTCAGGTCCACAAGCAAGCGTTTACTTCCCGGAACATTAGTCGTCTTTTCAAAAGACAATTTTGATACAATGAAGTTTGGAACAGTTGTAAGCCGACCTCTTGAGCTACTCGGGAAGAGTTTTGATTTACAAATTGATGTGCTTTTTCGGCTTGAAGATACAGATTTTGAATTGCCAGAAGGATATATTATGGTAATTTATTAATAAATAAATTTTTTTATAATTAATGATTTCTTTCATAATAATAATTTATTATTTATCACTTAGGTTGAATCAACTACATCGTATTTCGAAGGTATTTATAAAATATTTTGTTATAGTAGTTAGAAAGCTTCTTTCAAAGTTCACATATTGGCTGAATTTTATTTAGCTTATAGGCACGTCTTAAATATCCTTCAGGAATTGGATCCTGAAACGTTACCATTTAAGGAACATATTGTTGAACGAAAATTAGAAATCGAAATTCCAAAATATTTGAATGCTAGAATTCCCATCTATGAGCTTGGTAAAACAGAAGCGTTTCAAAACCTTGAAAATTGTATTGGCACATCTAGGGTATTTTTTTATTTGATATTATTATTGTTGAATTATATACATCTTATATATATCTCTATATAATATATTGTTTGTTAGCTTAATGTTCGTGAAAAATGGGATAATTGGCCAACGATAGAAGAAATGAAAACTGAATTACATATTTCACAATACGAAGCATTAAAGAGGATGCTTACATGTCGATTAGCTTTAGTTCAAGGACCACCAGGTACAGGAAAAACTTATGTGGGTCTTACTGCAGTTAGAATTTTACTAGAGAATCTTCCAGGTACTATTGTTGTTGCGTGTCAAACAAATCATGCGTTAGATCAATTCCTTGAAGGTTTGTGTTTTTTGCATTACAAAAAAATTATTGTTTCGTTCAGCATTCGTTACTTAACTTTAAATTACTTTAGGCATTCAACTTTATGAGGAAAATATTATTAGACTAGGTTCAAGATCTTCTTCAACTCTAATCAAACCGCGTACATTGTTTAATATACGAAGCGATATGAAATCGTCTAATAATACAAATTTTAGAAATCGGAATCTTAATCTTTTCTTTGTTAAAAGAAAGAAGATTGAGGATGAAATGAAAGATTTATGTAAAGAGATAGGGAAGCCATGTCTTGAATTGGATTTTATCAAAGAACAGGGATATCTCACAGATGAGCAAATTTCGAGTCTTAAACAAGATGATTGGTATTCAAGTAGTTCAGCCGGTAACGATGACAGCGATAGAGACTATATACAAGAATGGCTAGAAGCCTCAATCTCTGCTGCAGCTTCGAAGCAAAATGAACTTGATTATCAGTTTTTCCAATTCTTGTCGGAAGATTACGGGGATCAAGTGGAAGAAGAAGAAGAATTTGATGAAGAATACATTCATGTTGTCGAAGCAGAATTTCAGGGAATTGATGGTGGTCAGCTTACAAGCGGTGACTTTTTAGAATTAAGGAATGAAAAATGTATAAAGTCGGATGTATACGTTAGTGAAGATATGATACGTGAATATTCTTCCGCTGAAGATTTATGGTCTATACCTCAAGAAGTCCGTGTAGAAATGCATAGACGTTGGCGTCGTGTAAGACTGGAAGAAATTTTTGATCGACTTAAACACCTTTGTGAGCAATATCTCAAATTTTCTGAGCAGATAAAAACCGAAAGGATTCGTGAAGATTTGTTTATTCTCAAAGGGGCTCGCGTTGTTGGGATGACCACTACAGCCGCAGTAAGTGGTTAATATAATCTTTTCTTAAAATAAAGCATTTAATTTTTATGAATGAAATTTTTTTATCTTCAAACTTATTAGGCCAAATATCATGATTTACTGATTAATTTGGCACCAAAAATCATGATTATTGAAGAAGCCGCCGAGACTTTGGAAGCACACATTGTGACCGCTCTTACACCTGCGACTGAACATTTGATTCTTATTGGGTATTATATTTTAGTATTTTAAAAATATATAAATTATTTTAAAATATTTATTTGTTTTTTTACTTAAAATAGCGACCATCAACAACTTCGGCCAAATACTTCTGTGCATGATCTTGCCAAAAATCATGTAAATTAACTTATAAAAAATATATATTTATTTTTGGTATATATAAGCCCTTTGTGGCTAAAAAATCTTGTACTTTAATAAATCAATATAGCATTTGGATGTTTCATTGTTTGAACGGTTGACAAAATTCTTGCCATATTGTCAACTCACTGAACAACGCCGTATGCGACCGGAGATCAGAGAATTGCTCACACCAATTTATAAAGATGTCCTCACAGATCACGATAATGTATGTAACTATCCTAATGTTCCAGGTTTTTGTAATGATCTCTTTTTCTTTGATCACCAAGAAGAGGAGGTTCACGAAGAAGATACGATGAGTAAAAAAAACAAGTTTGAGGCAGAGATGTGTACCAAATTTACCAACTATCTTGTGAAAGGTGGAACGAATGCAAAAAAAATGTAAGTCTTTATTAAATTCATATGTAAATTGTTGATTTGAAATTATAACAATTCTTTTTTTATAGTACCATTTTAAGTATGTACTCTGGTCAAAGGAAACTCATTGATAAGTTATTAAGAGATGAATCTCGTAATACACCAGAAATTGTAGATGTTCGTGTATGTTCGGTGGATGGCTTTCAAGGAGAGGAAAATGATATAATTCTTTTGTCCTTGGTAAGAAGCCGTGAACCACGACAGAGTATAGGTTTTTTGAATGTGTCCAACAGAGGTAAGATATGTGCTTCTTTTTTCATTTTAAAGACGCTTATCGGTTTTAATAATTATGACTTTTGAAATAGTTTGCGTTGCTTTATCACGAGCTAAACATGGAATGTATATTTTTGGCAATGTATCACAATTAAAAATGCAATCTGAGCTTTGGCGAGAAGTTTTGAGAATACTTGAAAAATCTGGACGTTGCGGTCAATCTATTGACCTGTATTGTCAAAAACATTCTAACCCTAATAAAGAAGAATGGCCACGTGGTGTGGTGATAACTGAAGTTACATGGTCTGCTGAAATACCACCTGAAGGTGGTTGTATGAGGGAATGTGAAGAGGTTATGGAATGTGGTCACGTGAGTATTCAAATTATGATAAATATCAATCACGAAATAATTATATATATATATTTTTGATACAGATTTGTCCAAATAAATGTCATATATTTCCACATAATACTTGTAAGGTAAGCTTTAACGTTTTTTTTTTTTTTGTTAAAAAAATTAATTATTGATGATTATATTTGATTAATAGCAATATTTTTGTTTGAAAATCATGTAGGAAAAATGCATCCGGAAATTCCCTTCTTGTGGTCATTCATGTTCCAAACGATGTGACGATCCTTGTGGAAATTGTGAACAAATGGTTGTGTTTCGCCCACCATGTGGACACGAAAAAGAAGTGTTTTGCTACGTAAAACAATCACCTGGTAATTATAGATGTAAGGAGACGTGTTCTAAAAAATTACCATGCGGGCATCAGGTTTGATCATTTAATATTGTATTCTCGTTATTAAGTTTTATTAAGTTTAAATGGTTCTCTGATTTATTTTATTTTTCGTCTAAAGTGTGAAGAGATTTGCTCATCACCCTGGTGTACAACGATGTGCCGAACTATGGTTAAATTTGGATATCCTGATTGTAATCATGTAAATCGTTCCCCTTGTTATGATTATAACGCTAAAGAAATTAAGAAATGTCCTTATTGCTAGTTTTTTATAAATTTTATTTATAGTTTACTAATATTTATGTAATGATTTTATTAGTTTCTTGTTTTGTAATGTAAAGAAATTTTGTATATTCTATTAAAATTTGATTGATACCGTCTTTATATATATTAAAAAACTAATCTCTTTGATTCATAGTTCTCCTGAATATCCTTTAAAGTCCCAAATCTTCACTTATTGAATACTACGAAATTTTCCTCAATAAAGGCATGATCAGTAATTTTTTCCTAGCGTAAAAATTTTGAAGTGTCAAGTCTTTCTTCTTCAATATACAATAAGCTCTCCGTGTCGAAATCCCAACCCGTTCGAGTCTTCTGTTATTGAGCTTGGGGTAGTTGTATTATAAATCAGTCTGATAGGGATTAAGATTTAATTAACCGTTTAAACCGTGTAATATAAGTTTATATAAAATTTATATAAAAAAAAATTTTAATATATCGCAGAACTATATTTATTACAAACAGCTAAATTTTTGTTATATTTGATAAATCATTAGTCATTTTCACCACCTCCTTCATTATTATCATATATTTTTTGAATTCTTTCCATAAATATAAACCAACTTTTAACGCGATCATTCCATTTCCATAATCGTTCAAAAGTGGAAAATGTTCTCTCTGCAGCTGCTAATGATTTTTTTTTTTTTACGAAGTGGCACTGCCAGTAACTTTATTAAATTTATACAAAATATAAATAGTAAATCTTAAAAATCTATATACAAGTACTAGCTACCCCCGAAATTATCTTTCAGGATCAAGTCCGAATAGGTCCACAATATATTCATTTAATATGATTAGAAACGTGATTAATACAAAAGGTCTCGCAATTTTTTTTAACGATTCAAACGATATATGTTTTAACAAAAAATGTAAAAAAAATTTATTATTATAATTGTAATGATAAAAAAATTACAATCTTCATTTTCTGCTGCTTTTAATAAAAAGCTAAAATTGTTTTCATTATTTTCTTCTAAATTAGCTTATTATTAAATTTCCAAACTAATCTTTTTCTATTATAAAAAAAAATATTATACTAATATTTTGTTTGTTCACCAATACTATTATCAACCCAGCTTTTTGCACATAATGATGCCCTTACGGTTTCTGAGTTTAATCAGTTTTGAGTCTTGGTAATTGTGTTACTTGCAACAGAAAAAGCCTGTTCACATGCGACACTTGTTACTTGTTACTTGTATCGCTAGATATCCCTAACCATTGATGAAAGTATTAGAAATTCGTTAGAATGGGCTCATCACGAAAAAAGAGGATCTACATTTTCATCATGAGGTAAGGCTAAGTATCATTCTATTTCTATAAAATTAGAATTTATAGTAGTTGGGGCTTGTAATGTTTCAGTTCCTAATCAACGCTTCTTTAATTGATGAAAAAAGTTTTGTAATGATGTGAAACTTTCTTGAATGATTTGAAATTGTGATTTTTGAGTGAAATATAAAGAAAAATTTTTTTGTAAATCATTAATTACTTTTATTGTTGGTTCACCTAATTCAAAAAGAGATACTTTATTTCAAGGATCTAAATATTGATGCAATAGTAATCGTATCATCAAGAATTTTTCAATAGTTCTCTAGTTTTTGATTAATCGAATTAGCTAACATATATTGATCAAAATCATTTTTTTCTACATAATAAATTAAATGGTCTCAAATTTTATTAAAATAAAATTGTATATCAGCTATTATTGGATATATTAATCCTAAGAAAATTTAGTTGTTCTTTCGATGGATTCTAAAACAATAAGTATTTTCTTTTAATATAATTAAAAAAAATTTAAATTTAGTTTATAATCTAAAAAGAAAAATACTAATTATACATATTATTTACCTTTATTTTAGTTCGTGTTATAATATTTGACATTAAATTTAATATTTTTAAATGCTTCATTAAAAGCATTTTTAATGTTGTTTCCATTCTTTAGAATTTGTGAAGTATATAATAGGTAGAATTCTACCTTGTTTTAATATCTATTTCAGGTTGTAAATACTCAAGTTTTTTTACAGCACATAACTTACGTAAATTATTACATAATAGAACGAAATTTTTAATCTTTTTCATTAATGTCTATATAATTTGAATATCTTTATCAATTATCTCTATTTTTTATTTAACTGCAAGATTGAGTATATGAGCTAAATAGTGATAGTGCTTAAAAGACAAGTTATTCTTCTACCAATTTTTATTTATACACTACTATTACAAATTCGTTATCTGTGATAAGTGCTGATATTTTATTTGTTAAGTTAAATTTATTAAGAACATCACTAATTCCATTTGCTATATTAACTCCTGTATGATGAATTTTAATTAAAAGGATTGATATCAAGTAAAAACTGTTAAAGCATTTAATTTTGGTCAATATAATAGATCGTAAACTCAGATATATTTTACTATTTATCATTGATGTTCATATATTTGCTGTAAAAATACTTTTTTTGTATTTTATACAAATCATATTTAATCTTTGAATGTCAGTTATCAAATTTTATAATAATAAATTCTTTTATTTGATATCTATCTGGAATTTTATAATGGAAATCAAAAGTATTCATTATTTTTATTTTCAACAATACAAAATGATTACTGGTCAGAAATAAACTAGTTAATAACTACTTTATCTCATTTAGATTTTTCTTTTATAGGTCAAGGAGTTGTATATTAAAAATTTAAACTGACTGTTTATTTTAACTTTTTAATATTTTATATCATATTGACTTAAAAGTGACGTTCAATACTAAAATTATTAAACTTTTAGAAAATACAAATTTATATTTTATATAGACAGGTACTCTTAGATTATTTTCAGTTTCATAATCAATATAATTTCATAAAAGAAAAGTTTTACATGAGTTTTATTTAGTTATAGTTTTGTTAGAATTTTATAAATTCCTTGAAATTTGAGTAGATATTACTTCAACTTCTGATGTACTATATACTATTATTACAGTCAGTTTATTAAGATGCTTATAAGTAATAAGCGAAGTAATATTTATGGGTAGTAAGCAAAAGGTTTATTTTGTAATTAAATTTAGAAGAGTATCATTTAATTAACAATTTATTTAATAATGATAACAATAGAGTACTGCCTCAGCAAAGACGATGATTTCTTGCATTCATAAAATTTTGCAGAAAATCACGGAATAGGTATATAAAAATAGTGATAATTTCTAAATTTTTAGCTTAGATTAGAACATACAACTATAATAATGCTGGCTGTCACTATTTTGGCTAAGGATTGGTGAATCATAATACCACCTAATTTTATATAATTCTGGCCAAATCGCAGAATTTTACAGAATTATCTTTTATTATAAATAGAATTGACTATTTATCACTGCAGAAAATCATCATCTCTATGCCTCAGTTAGCGCTCTGTACCATAAAAATATGTTAAAGGAATTAAACTAAACTATTTAATACAATTATCTATTAAACACACTAGACATACTATTAAGTTAAAAGAAAATGTCCTCTATTTATATAAAATAAAATACATAAAGTTACCAAAGATATAAAAGAAATAAATAAAGTATATAAAATAAATAAAATATAATAAATATATAAGATAAATAAAAATTTTTATGCTAATCAATCGATATATGCATTAAATTATTTTTTTAAAAAATTAGATAATTTATATTTGTGTTAACAAAATTTTTTATAATAAAATTTTAAATTAAAGTAAAATTAACTTTAATAAAATTAGTTTTAAAAATTAAAACAAATTATAAATCAGTTTAAAGATTAAAACAAAATTGTATTTAATTATATATAATTAAATAATATATATAAGTAATCTATTTAATAAAATGATTTTAAATTTTAATATATAATAAATTTGGCAAAATTACTATAAATGCTAGTACAGACAAATTCAAAAATATGATTGATTAAGACTTATTTAGGATTAGGTCTAAAAATCAAACTTAAAAACTTAAAAATCTGATCTAAAGATTAAGTCTTTAAGTTTAGAATCTAAGACTTTACCAACTTTACTTATCATTATTTTTCTCTTTTAACAAACTCGCTAAATATATATCTAATGACTATTGTTATCAATAAAAAAAAAAGAAAAGAAGTAGTTAATAGCTATTTAAAAATCTGAAAATTTATTACCAAATCTATTTTTAAGTTTATCTATGTTTTCCAATTACTAAAAATATGATATAATTATTTATGAACCAAACTTCATTGACACCCTTTTCAAGTTTACTATTATACAATTACCATAATAATTTTAATTGTCTTTATTAGTAATATCCAAAGAAATTACTTTATTATGTAGTAATTTATATTGTTATTTTTATATGTTTTCATACTGTAACAGGATTGGATTGATGGACGTGACGCAGAAGGTTGCAGATCTAAATGTCAGATATATCAGACATAATTGATATATTTGATATATTTGATATATTTGATATACTAGACATATATGATATATTAGATTTTACATTTAAAAGTATATAAAGAAGACTAAATCTTTAATAAGAAAAATCATCAATTGCTAGATGCAATCTGATCAGTTCAGCGATGACTATATGCAACCT